TAACCATTTATTTCATGTTTTCCTTGATCACATAGAGGAAGTGGATTTGGCAAGCGGAAGGGTTGGCCGCTCCCGTTAGCCAGGTCCGTCTGCGCTCCCTAAATCCGGGTGCCGGTGAGTTTGAATTCGTCCTCACGTTACTAACTCCTTCGGATTTCGTGACGCTGACGGGACAAAGGGATAGCTTAGGGATGATGATCTTCCCACCGTGGCTTTGGGTCCGTTAAATCCAGGGCGTCATCTAAAAGAGGAGACCGGCTATACACGGCTGCCCAACACGGAAATATGAGCCGGACCGCGTCGGTGATGGCGGGCGCGGAATGCCATCGTGACCTCTTTGGCCCGAAGGCGGATCTGTCCCCGTAGGTGTCTGTTTCGCCCGTTTTTTGTCCTCGCCGCCCGAGATGAGGAGAGCAGGCCCGACGGATCAGCAGGGGAAGGTGGGCTGACGAGGACCGGGGATCAGGTGGCGGAAAGTAGATTGGCGGACATTGCGACGGGTTAGGAGGCGGCGATGTGACCGTGTGATCAGCGCAATGTAGACGGGATCTGCTATTGTGCCGGCCTGTGACAGTACAAATAGAAGGGATGGTGTGGTATATTTATATCTATATTTATACCAGTATTTATTTATTTGTCTATCTGTCTATCTATACATACGAGTATATATATTGAGAGAGAGAGAGAGAGAGAGAGAGAGAGAGAGAGAGAGAGAGAGAAGAGAGAGAGAAGAGAGAGAGAGAGAGAGAGAGAGAGAGAGAGAGAGAGAGAGAGAGAGAGGGCGTTAAAAAGAGTGGAAGGTCGAACGAATCAGGGAGTGTGGGGAAACATAAATGAGAAGAAGCGAGTAGGAAAAGAAGAGAGAGGGGTGCATCCCTCACACGGGGACAAAATGCACATCATCTACGTGGGCGTGCGGGCGTAGTTACCCGGAGTGTGAGCAGAACAGAAACAATATTGTCTACGATACAAGGAAAATCCTGTTGTAACGTATCTTGCGTAAATCCCCGAGCGACTCTGGGTAAAGTCCCTCCCACTTCTGACCTTGAATCGACACGGAGAATTGGGGGGGGGGGGGGGTAGGGAAGGGAGTTGATGACGAGGGAGGGACAAAGACGTCGTCACATCTCCCCCCCCTGCCCCCCCCCCTTCAAGGAGATAACCATGCTCTGGTTCCCAAACGAGCGGCGGGACAACGAGCCAACGAGCGAGTCAGCAGTCGTCAAAACGGTTGAGAAGTGTGGTGCATTTGATTCGGATGAGCGATGGAAGCTAAGCGCGTGTGAGTGTGAAGATCATATTTTCAATAGAATGTGTTTTGATTCGGATGAGCGAGTGGAAGCTAAGCGCGTCATTTTGTTTACTTGTCCTCAAAATGATATAAAAAATATAATGATCAGTGTAATTTCTTGTCCGAAAGTCAGATTTTGTCTTTCTTGATCATATTTTTTCAATGGTTTATCAATACGGCAAGACCATGAATACCAGGAACTTCATCTTCTACTGTTCAGATGCCTGTGAGTTACATCTGCCTTCGAATGAGACCAAACACCTGCGAAAAGGTTACACTGTTTGGTAAGCAATGCGCATTTGCATTCCACCCGGAACAGAGAGACCACGAATTTGAAACAGAGAATATTTAAACCCAGTTCTTTACGGTTATTAGGATCCACTCTATGGTAATTAACCCGACCGGAGATAAGATAAAGACCTTAAGCCGAGGGAGCCAGCGTGGTCTCTGAACAATGCCCATTATCTCAGCTAAATGCGTAAAACTGAATTCCTCAGATGCGCTCACGTGGACAGCACCGTCCTGGCTAGAGAGACGGAGAGTGAATAGGAAAATAAAAAAAGGTGGGAAGGGAAGGTTAGAGAACGACGGCGAAGGGTAGATAGGAGGAAGGGATTAAGGGATAGAGAGAACGGCGGTGAAGAGTAGATAAGAGGAACGGATTAAGGGATAGAGAGGAGGGCGGTGAAGAGTAGATAGAGAGGGTTAGAGACACAGAGAGGAGGGTAGATAGAAGAGGAAGGATAAGGAAGTATATGGGAACGGGTAGATAGAAGGAGAAGGATAGAAGTATATGGGAACGGGTAGATAGAAGGAAGAAGGGATAAAGGGATAGAGAGCGACGGCGGAGAATGGTAGATAAGAGGAAGGGATAAGAGGATAGAGAGGACGATGGAGAAAGGCGGATAATAGGAGTAAAGGCTAAAGGGATAGAGAGGGACGGCGGAGAGTGGTAGATAGAAAGAGGAAGAGATAAGGGGAATGAGAGAGACGGAGGATGAAACGTAGATAAGGGGGGGAAAGGATGAGGAGTGAGAGAGGACGGTGGAGAAGCGTAGATAGAAGCAGGAAGAGATAAGGAGAAAAAATAGGGACGGTGTAGTAAAGTAGATAAAGGGAGGAATGGATTAGCAGTGAAAGAGAATGGCGGAGAAGCGTATATAGAAGGAAGAAGGGATAAATGGATAGAGGAGACGGCGGAGATGCGTAGACAGAAGAGGAAAGAGAGAAATGAGGGGAGAGAGAAAGACGGCCGAAACGCGCAGATAGAAGGAGGAAGGGAGTAAAGGCAAACGAAGAGGCAGAGGGTAATTAAAGGTCGAAGCATCCTGACGAAAAGTGCGATTCGTCCTTGGCGTTTATTCATCAGCTGCGTGGACTCACCCTGAGCCCTCGTACCCTGAACAACCCCAAAAAATTTTCTTTAAGACGCTGTGCATTGTGAACGCGTATGACAAGAAGGCCGCGAGTGTCTTTGAGGACGAGGGTCTTTTCGAGACCTTAGGGTACGAAGACCAATTGCTCTAGAGCCTCAAGGATCGCCCAGAAACGCCATAAGGATTCATACTTCTTAGCCTGAAAGTTAAACACAAAACGTGACATTTGAATTTTCCCGACCTTTTATTTTATCTTTTTCTTTCTCTATCTTTTATACATTTGCTAATTATGAATAAACACGGGAGGTTGTGAATCAGAGAGGTGGGTTTAAATTCACAAAACTGCGCAGAGCATTTAGAGCACCGAGAGATGGACGTTGCTGCATCATGCAACTGAATGGAGCTTTGAGCGTGAACACTTGAACACTCACAAGCGCTTGCATGCAGAAACTAATTAAAAATAGCATGGCGGTTGGAGAGAGGTGGGTGAGGAAGCAAGGAGAGGGGGAAGGGGGGAGGGGGCGGCAGTAAATGAAGCCTCATCATATCCTACAAACAAACAAACAAATAAACTTGGTTCACGCGTCTCTTTCCAGGACACGTGTTCGCCCTGTGATGTGTTGCGTAAGTGATATGAAGTACAAAATGATATGAAGAATATTTTTTTTCTAACATGAGGAAGACAAAAATGTGTTTATCTGACCTTGCGCCTCTTATCGCAAGATAGTGGTTCAGGAAATGGCCAACCAGCGCTCTTGCTCATCTGTCGAAAGTGAAAGGTCAAATAAACTAAGAAATTTTTATAACAGACTCTAATGAGGCGGAATCACCATAAAAGGCAGTGGAAATTTCCAAAGCGAAAAACTACACTAATTTACCTAATATCAAAAATAGAATCCCTACTGAAACTAGATATATAAAAAACACTCTCTGTATAATTAACTATTGCTCAAATATATGGGGTACAACAAACAAAGGTCAAATTCAGAAAATTAAAAAATTACAAAACTTTGCTGCCAGGGTAGCATTTGGGAACATAAAGAAGTATTACCCCATTACCCCACACATAAACAAACTAAATTGGCTAAAAGTACATCACAAATACAACTATGATACTTGAATACCGATTCACAAAATGATCCAAGGTTTTTATCCAAAATGGCTTTTAACCCTTCCAACTGCAGGTAACACAACCTGTGTCCAAACAAGACAAGGCAACTCCCTATATGTTAAAAGATCACGTGCAGACATAGGGGCTCACGTGGAACCATGATATGGAACCAACTACCTTATGATATCAGAAACATTCAAAACTCAAATACATCCAAAAGGAAATTAAAGGAACATCTATTAAATCACCAATGACACCGGGTTTCTAAATATAAGACTAGACAAGATTTTTATGTACCACCAATGATTCTATGTTTAAATTATATTTATTTGTACTGTAACATCACTATGTATATAATAAGAATAACCATGTATCAAATGGAATAAAGTATTTTGAATTTGAATTTGGAATAAAATAAATATGAAAACACACAACGCACAACACACACACACACACACACACCACACACACACACACACACACACAACACACACACACACACACACACACACACACAACACACACACAACACACACACATCAACCACATACATGCATATATAAACAACACACACCACACACACACACACACACACACACACACACACACACATATCATACACACACACACACACACACACACACACCACAACACACACATACCACACACACACACACATACGTATGTGTGTGTGTCTGTGTGAAAAGAGAGAGAGAGAGAGAGAGAAGAAGAGAGAGAGAGAGAGAAGAGAGAGAAGAGAGAGAGAGAGAGAGAGAGAGAAGAGGAGAAGAGAGAGAGAGAGAAGAGAGAGAGGAAAGGATAAAGAAACACACACAATAAATTTTATAAATAAATAAACTAATAAAATAAATAAATAATAAAAAATAATAAAAATAAAATAATATAATATATATATAATATATATATATATATATAAAGTAGAGAGAGAGAGAGAGAGAGAGAAGAGAGAAGAGAGAGATATATATATATATATATATATATATATATATATATATATTATTATTATAATATATATAAGATATTATATCAGATAGAGAGAGAGAGAGAGAGAGAGAGAGAGAGAGAGAGAGAGAGAGAGAGGAGAGAGAGAGAGAGGAGCGAGAGAGAGAGAGAGAGAGAGAGAAGATAGATGAAAGATAGAGATATATAGATAGAGATATAGTAGATATAGATAGATATAGTAGATAATAGATAGATAGAT